CTTTTGGAGGCTTCAAAATTGCACAGAACTATGGTATTTACAGGGTTTTGTGCACCTTCCCGGCAGAAAACGCCGGTATTTACACGGTTTTCTGCGCTTTTCCAGCGCTCAACCGTGGTGCGCCTTTGGATCGACGGCTACAAAATACTGTAAATACCAGTGTTTTCAGCTCCTCCTGTCTTCAAGCGTGGCCTTAGACCTTGCCGCGGCTGTGGACCGACGGCAACGAAACTTCGTAAATACCAGTGTTTTTGAGCACGTCCTGTTTGCAAGCATGGCCTGCGGCCACGCAATTTACAGGGTCGCCGCACGTCACTATGTAAATCCGAAGTTGCATTTGAGAAATATGTGACTCCTTTTGAAGGCACGTCAACCTGTATTGAAACCGCTAGACCGCCACAGCTTCTGGAGGTTTTGTCGAGCGTTTGTGCATTAGTCTTTCTTTCATCACGCTCACTCACTTCTCTTCAAACAAGTGGGGGGCCTCTCACTTCCTCCCGGATTACGCCTGATTCCCTGCTACCTTTCGTTCACCCCCCTCCTCTCTCAAGTACATGCACTATGACCACAAATGCATACAAGAAACCATTAAGCTCTACATCACGGGGCACGCAGAGGTTAAACAGCATCTCCAAAGCATATTCCAAGCTGGAAATTGAGGGCCTCATACCTGCATGTTTGCAGGTCAGCCCCACTACATGCTTGTTGTCCTTCACGTGTCCTTGGTTGAAAACTCAATCAAAACAAGTTGAAGATGCCCCAACCTGGAAATCATTAAACACAGTGCAATCAAATGTCTGCGAGTGATCTTGTTCCCACTCACAGTGCACAATGACTGGTTCATGGCAGCACAACGCAGTAGTGTTGCCATCCCGCACTTAGGTAGCACGCCAGTAACAACACAAAGGGCTGCATCACACACAACCACAAGCCAATGCACTGACAAACAGCTGTTTTCCACAAAGAAACACAAACAAAATCAAAGAATGTCACGGGCACTATGGTGGGCTCCAATATGCTCCAATCAATCCTGCACTGAAACCCAAGGGGCAGCCAACCTTTCATCCAAATCACGTTTACACAATGCAGTCCTGCATCCATCATGGTCCAAACCATGGGAACAAAGTGGTCTTGAACCCTCCACAGCTACAGAAAGACATGAACGCACCAATTTAGAGTTGTTCTGAACTCCAACCTTGGAAACTGAGGTGTTATCAACAAAACCATTGATTCCAGAAAAAGTGCTCGATTTGCCATCCCAAGGCAAAATGTGCTCGTTTCCCAGAAAAATGTACGATGTATAACTTTAAGTACGTTTACAATTATTGAGTATCACAACTCCAACTGTACACATTTTTGTGTACCAAAGGAGTGTCCAGGCATGGTTCTCTTTTCAGGCCTGGGAAGTCTACGGACATCATGTTGGACATGTTGAAAGAAGGCTTCCGACATGCTTCAGCACCACCCAAAGCACCGTGGCCGACGCCTCGTTTTGGAACCTGGATTCGTCTCGTTTTGGAACCTAGATTCGTCTCGTTTTGGAACCTAGGAAGTGGTTTCTGGGAAGTGGTTTCTGGGAAGTGGTGTGGTTTCTGGGAAGTGGTTTCTGGGAAGTGGTTTCTGGGGAGTGGTTTCTGGGGAGTGGTTTCTGGGAAGTGGTTTCTGGGAAGTGGTTTCTGGGAAGTGGTTTCTGGGAAGTGGTTTCTGGGGAGTGGTTTCGGGGGGTGGTTTCTGGGAAGTTTTTGCTGGGAAGTGGTGTGGTTTCTGGGAAGTGGTTGCTGGGAAGTGGTGTGGTTTCTGGGAAGTGGTTTCTGGGAAGTGGTTTCTGGGCAGTGGTTTTTGAGAAGTGATTTGTGGGAAGTGGTTTCTGGGAAGTGGTTTCTGGGGACTGGTTTCTGAGAAGCGTTCTTGTTTTGAGGGGGTGGTGGTGAAGGCCGAAGTCTAACCCACAGACATCCTAAAGAGGCAAGGCCCTACGCCAGGCCAAAAGAAACCGTGGCCCTACAGGAGCGAAACCCTAAGCAAAACCAAACCAAACCCTAAAGAAGTGAAGCCTTGATTCAAACCCACAGACATCCTAAAGAAGTGAAGCCCTAAGTGAAAACGAAAGACATCCTAAAGAGCAAAGCCCTAAGGCAAACCAACCCCCCTGAAGAAGTGAAGCCCTAAGTGAAACCCAAGACATCCCAAAGGAGCCCTCACGTGAAGGCCTAAACCCAAACCAAAGACATCCTAAAGAAGCAAAAGAAAACCTAAAGATCGAAACCCTAAGCAAAAAACAGATCTTCAAGAAGTGAAGCCCTGAGTCAAATCCAAAGACATCCTCAAGAAGTGAAGCCCTAAGCTAAGACCAAAGAAACCCTAAAGGAGCGAGGCCTGAAGCAAAACCAAGAGAGACCCCAAAGAAGTAAAGGCTCATTCGACCCAAAGACATCCTAGAGACGCAAAGCCGGAAGCCCAACCACATGAAACCCTAAAGGAGTGAAGCCTGAAGCAAAAGACAAAAGACTAAAGAAGTGAAGCCCTAAGCCCCTCTCCACTGAAGCCCTAATGCCACCCCAAAAACATCTTAAAGAAGCAAGCCCCTAAGGCAAGCCAAACAACACCCTAAAAGAGCAAAGCCCTGAGCAAAACCAAACCCAGCTTCGCCAAAGCACATCATTATCACGACCATGTGCACAAAACACAAAATGTTGAGCAAGAGATGCTGTTGAATTTGGGGCAAAGACATCCTAAAGAAGTGAAGCGATAAGGCAGGCCAAAAGAGACCCTCAAGAAGTAAAGCTCTAAGTCACAACCAAAGACATCCTAAAACAGCAAAGTCCTATGGCAAACCAGCCAGCAACCCTAAAGAAGCGAAGCCCTATTTGAAACCCAAGACATCCTAATGGGATTCCCGAGACTTCCGCGGCTCACTTTTTAAGGAAGTCTCGTACAAAACGCTC